CTTACTCTTCCGAGATCAGCTTTCGTTCTGTCTACAAGCAAAACATTTGAAAACACTCAGCACGCAGGCTGACGTCACGAACGGCAGCGCCTCACGACAGTTATTACTTCAGTTCATTTCACAACATCTTCCCCCTTGAGACTCAGGTTGAGTATCAAGCTCATAACAAACATTATTTAAAAGATCAAGTCTTTTTGGAGCTTTTACAAGTCATCCAGAGGAGGAATCTTGTTGCATTACCATTTTATCAGGTGCAATTCCCCCTTTTAACGTACATCCAGCACTAGAATTAGATTCCTCTGCACCCAGTTTCTTATCAGAAATTATGTTTCTGTCATAGGCCTGTATCTCCAGAGGAAAGCTGCATTGTATTGGTCGTACAACTGTTCCATGCAGGGTCTTGAGTTAAACCGTGCGTGCCTTTCCATCACGTCCAAGGATCAATTATGTAATTCGTGCTAAGGGCCAAAATAAACGTTTTTTGTTATCATCTCCCATCAGTACTATTTCTTCAACTACAGGTTCCCGAGATCATTTCTCATTATGCTTTTGAACCAGTTGACTAAGGTATTCTTTTCTAAAGTGTTGTCGCAGATCATTTAACAATTTAGTTCTATAGTTTAATCTCTTGTTAAGACTTGACGAATTTAATTCATCAAGATCTTCAATATTGGAATTTCTCTTCTCGATAAGAAACATGGCGGGTGTCGGAGGGACAAATTCCTGCAGATCTTCAGAAACATACATTAAAAGTCTACAATTAATTATAGTTTCACAATCACAAATAATAGTATAAAGTTCTTCATATGATAACACTGATTTACCTAAAATGCGTTTCAGCAATTTCTTTACTGTACGAACCAACCTCTCCCACCAAGCTGCAGTAGGTGGAATAAGTTTCCAGAGTATCTTTTCAGTTCCTGTGTCCTTTAATACTTTAGCCCAATTTAGTTGTGATAAATCATTAGATGCACCCCGAAAATTTGTCCTGTTATCACTATAGATTATTCTAGGTCATCCGTGCCTAGCCACAAATCATCAAAGCACCAGGAGAAACACATCAGTAGAAAGAGAATTTACAAGTTCAAGGTGAATGGCATGGTATACAGCACACATGAACAGCACAATCCACACCTTTCCTCCATTTTTTAAAAACAGGGGTTCAGCCAAATCAATCCCTATGATTTCAAACGGCGCACAATCCGTAACTCGATCTGGTGGCTGAGGTGTCGGTTCGCTTGACATAGCCTTAATTTTAAATCTTTTACAAACGATACAGTTAAAGAGGACATTTTTAATGGCCATTCTAGCTCTGACTATCCAAAATCTTTGTCGTAATATACATTGTATCATCTGAAGACCAGCATGACAGTTCTTATTATGTACATTTCTGATTAATAACTTAGTAAAATCACATTTTTTTGGTAACAGTATTGGATACAGAAAATATTCATGGTCATCTCTGTTTAGTATTCTCGTTTTAACTCTCAGAATACCATCATCATCAATGAGCATTTCAATAAAATTATAAGATTTCTTATCAGTAAGATAATAATTTTGAACCAAACGAATTAAAATCTTCTCAGAATTTTCAATTTCATACTGTGAAAGTTCGATGTTTCTATTCTTTTCAGAGCCATCTTTACAATTATTTACAAATCTAAATATCCATGCAAATTTTCTAATCATTTTATCATAATTGGATGCACTGATTCGATGCCAAGGGGGGTGCGTCTTTTGATAGATCAATATTCACTGATTTTATCCTCTCCAATTCTACTTCTTCATGCAAACAAATAATCTCACCAGTAGGCCAGTTTTCAGAGCCTTCTCGCAACCACAGTAACATTTTTCTCTAGAATGTTTCTTTTCACAAAAATTACAGTTCGGAATACTCTTACCTGAATTCTCAAGACTTACTAGAGCTGACGCTGTTACAGGTTCATTTTGCTTTACCTGTTCGGGGTTAAAGTCTTTCTTCCGGTGATTCTGTTGTGAAGCGAAATCAGTTCTTGCAAGTAGAACCATCTCTGCAATTAACTTCCTGCCTTAAGAAATTCATTAAATGTTGCAAGGATCTAGTCCCTTTAGTTTCAATGGAGTTGTGATTTTGGCTTCTTTCCCACCCATCAGTACTTCTTCTGGTAAACAGCTTTCCACTAAGGGGGTCAAAAAGTCGCCATATTTTTTTGGGTTCTCCCCAGACTTTCCAACACTCTCAGTTTCCCTTCTAGTTCATCATAAAGGGAGGGTAGATTAGTTTTTGCTCTTCTGGTTACAGCGTTCTTCATCAGTAGGCTTAACAAGTCTCTCGCATAGATTTGCACAAGTAAATCTTCGCGTCCAAAACGCTCTCTTAGTTGTTCGATGCCTTTGGGATAATTAGCTGCCGTTGCCAGAAAGCTAAGAACTAGGCGTTCTGCCTTCGATTTGGGTTCCATGGCCTGCAACAGATACTGCATTTTATCTTCATCAGCGATACTTTTGTCGTCATGGATTTTCTGGAACTGACTCCAAAAAGTCAGGTAATCTTTAGCTTCACCACTGAACTTTTTAAGCTCAATTTAGGCAATTTAAATTTCCTCAATTCTGAGTTACTTGGAAGAGAGGAAGCTTGTATTTCTGCATCTATTTGAGCACTCTGTTCTAGAAACTTATCTCGGTAATCCTCTGCTTCTTGAAAGTCATCACTAAATAATTTTTCTCCATCTTCAGTCTGCAAAATCTGCTGCGAGTAGCACTCTGACATACGTCAAGTCTCTGGAATTTATCACAAAGTTAACACTTCAAAATTGAAAGTATTTTTAAATCTCTTACTTCTTTAGTTAATTCACTTTCGATTTTCCTTGAGGTTTGAGAAAATGCAATTCTAGGTCCTCTTCTTTGGGCCTTTAAAGCGATCAAATCCATCTTCAAAGTATATTCAAAATCAAAAGTTCAATCGGAAAATACTAATCCATAGCACCCGGTCCTGTCGAGGGTACCACTATGTTACAAAGAACACAGAAAATATATAAATCAAATATATTCATTCAGTTGCGGGCTGCCTCGACCTGAGGCTGGGTGCATTATGAATAAAGACAAAAAATTCTTAATAAGCCATTTTTTATTTTCATCAAAACAGTCTTACTCTTCCGAAATAAGCTTTCATTTTGCTACAAGCAAAACATTCGAAAACACTCAGCACGAAGGCTGACGTCACGAACAACAGTGCCTCGTGCCAGTTATTACTTCTGTTCATTTCACAACAATGACTATCTGACTACTCAACTATTTCTTCGTTGCGTCGGGACTCCTCTGTGGTGCCACTTGTTTCACTGGTTTTCTGTTCATTGTTCTTTTCCTTTTTTCCACTGCCACTGGAACTCGTTGCAGTGGGACTTTACTGGCCTTTTGCTTGTTGCCCTTTTTCTCTTTTCCACTGGCACTGGACCTAATCACAGCTGGATTCCTCCATACTTTCCACCTGCCTTTCCTCCATACTTTCCACTGCTTCTGTTTTTCTGCTGGGGGTATCTTACTTCCAGAACATCTTGAATCGACAGAAGGAGACGCAGCTAAATCAATTTAATTTGCTATTTGGCCTCTTTCCATACATTAAATGAAGTAGTTGGATTTTTCTAAGAATAAAGTCCGCCAAATCTTCGACGTTCATCTGATATTTACTAAAGAGCTCTGCCTCCAGCTTCGTTCGATCTCTGACTACAGGAAATGCTTTCAGTAGTGCAGTTTTAAAGTTTTCCCATGTGTAGGTTTCTGATCCCGGATCATCCAATACGAACTTTCTGATACCCTGGAACCAACTCAGGGCCTGGCCTTTTAAATTAGCAGTAGCAATTGTAACTTTCTGCAACTGGTTTATGGGATATAAAGTAAAATGCAGGTCCAGCTGGCTTTAGGAAAGTCATCATGCAACCTTTGCCTTCAAATGTTGTGGCTGGCTTCATAGCTGCTCACATGGTTTCTATGATGAAACCACATCTCTCCATGGGATTTGTTGGTGGCTCAGGGATTTGAAAGGTGGAGGGGTCAACATAAATTTCCCATTTTCCAGTGGCATAGTTCATCAAAATGCTTTGGGCACCAATGTAGGAATCCGCCCTTTTATCTATTAACTAAGTATTGAAGAACCTAGTGAACTAAGCGAATAATTGCTAAAGTCCAATATAGAAACATAGACTCAAGAAGGGTTAATTATCCTTTATTGCTCAAAATAAAGATGCACTGATGGATCCTTTCTCAGGACTTATAGCAAAACCTCCATTTGAATTTAAACTCAAAAATGTAAGAAATAAGAACTTAACTAAAGGCTAACTAAAGATATTTAGCCGAAGCTAACACAATTTCTAAATTAGTTGGCCCGTAATGTTAAAATAGCTAGCGAAGCTATCGAGGACACGTAATACAGCCAAGCATAGTAACAGCTTAGAGAGACGTAGCCAAAAGGCAAACGTGCGCTATCCAGGAATCCTAATTATCTCTGTTAGTGGAACTTCAACTTAAATACTACTCCTTCCCATTTGCATTTAACGCAATTCTAAAAACTCATTCTGGTAAGGAATTGTAAGCTGAAGCTGGAAGAGATAGAGAGGGTAAATAAAACTAAAAATAACTGTTATAAACGTAGGATATACCTTACAATGTATTGTCATTTTCTTCATGCCTGTTAAATATACAAGAATTGCAATGAGTGCAGTCCTGTTTTCTAATGTGTATAGTTGTGAATGAGGAAAAACTGTATCTTGAACTTGCATGTATTAGGAATAAGAATCTAAAAAATTGTTCAAGAGCTAAAAAAAAACTTGGTTGAGATATTATTTTGGGCTTTAGCATTTAATCAGAATTTTTTATAGTTGATGCTAATACTTTTTTAATGTAGAAGATAATAATTTTAATAAAATACATTTAGAACAAAAATTTTGATAATTTTTCATGAAATAATGATTTGCATTGATTAAATAATATTTTATTTATTTATTTAAAGTAATTTATGTTTTCAGTCCTGATGGTCTCAAATTTCGTTCAAAAGCTGAAATTGCTAAATATTTGAAGAGGACTAATTCACCCTTAAATTTGGAGGATTTTAATATCAGTCATGAGCAGTTGACAAAGCAAGAAAATGTGCTAATTCCAGCAAAAACTTCTGAAGAGCATGTTGAACCTGATAACATTTGTGATTCTAGATCAAAATCCTCAGATTCCTCAGCTTTGAATTCAAGAAGAGTTTCCAAGACTACTTTATCTAAATCTCCAAAAATTGCAGTAAAAAATGGCAGAAAATCTAGACCTGTTTTAGAAAGCCGTAAGCAGTTTTAATTTAATCTTTTAGTAAAAATAAGAATTTAAAAATTGTTTTAATTATATATTGGTTATTTGTGTCATGAGCTTTTCAAAAAGTAATATACTCTAATGTAATGTAATATATGAATAAGTTGCAACCTTCCTGGCTGATTAATATCGCCTCATTGTTAACATAGCATACCGAAACACACATAAAAAATAAATAAATAAATCACAAAACTGAAACTCAAAAACCAGTTATTAATAACAAGAATTAAAATCAAACATATGTGATTAAAAACACCAAATTAAGATTCTCAGTACTTTCTGTTACCATTTATACAACTCACCAACTCCTAAAATTTAAATTCTTTCTTGTGTCAATAGTTTTTTTTTTTTTTTTTTTTTTTTTTTTTTAATAGTGTTGCCGTGTTTTTCCCTTGCATCCCTTCAAAGAAATGTCATGCATTGCCTTCAGCATTACAGAGATTATTAGTTTTTAAATTAAATCTTTTCAGATATGCCTGGAAGCGCCTATTCCCAGTAATTATTTGATCATAATCAGTATCGCATATAATTCTTATATTTTGGAAAATCCAAAGTTTAAAGAATGACCTTTCTCTTTTTCCAAAATATTTCATTACTCTTTCCAACAATCATTATAAAAATCTCTGATGTTACTAACAATAATTCTTTTTTAAGCCTGAACATCAAATGCATCCCCGGTATTACTTGTATCAGCTTCTTTGGCCAGCATGATGCACCTCTTGTTGCCAATAACCATTTCATTTCATATAATTTCAACTTTTACAAGGCATTCTTTTATATATTAGACCAAAATGTAAGTATTATCAGCTTCTACTGGTGCTTTCAAACCAGAAAGGGAGTCTGTATATATATATTATTATGCCTCTTTTAAGTCATCTTTTTAACAGTTTATTTAAGAGTAAATACAGGGTTGCCACACTACCTGGAAAACCAGAAAAAGTCAGGGAATTTAAATATTTTAGTTAAAATCTGGAAAGGTCAGGAAATGTCATATGACGACCCCCCAAAAAGCAAGTTTTGTGCCAATGTTGGAAGCGATGGCTTTGTTGGCGAATTATGTATCGGATGAGCGTCATTCAGGCAGCTTGCGTAGAGCCATTTTTCGCAGCTCCAATCAGATTGTCTTTTAGAAAGGCAAAGTAAGTTTCTGGCCAGTTTGTTTTCCAGTAATCTCGAGAATCTTAGACTCACATGGGCAGGTTATGTTTAACTAAAGAAAATACCTTCCCATTCTTGTATACAACAAAATAGGTTTAATTCTAATATACGGTACCATGGAGGCTAGAATAGCCCCCACGTATTCTGTTCTAATGTAAGAATGTCTATGTAAAGAAAGAAAAGTTCCATAGACGTAATGTAAATCAGTTTGCTAGAGTGCCGCTAGAAAATGTAGGGAGAAAAACTCACCAAGGAATTTGGCAACGGAACCTGACGACGAGAATTTCACCCTCCGCGATGTGTACAGGAAATTGTGGAGCATGTGTTAAGAAGAAACGTTCTTTTACTTTCGTGATAATTCATACTCGGATTTTCATACTTTTTTTGCTCAAAATAGCTAATCTATTAATTAGTTTACTTGTGCAAAAAATATTTTCTTTTCCTTTAAAGTTTAAGGAAATTTAAAACTATATTCGTTTTATGTACTCTTGATAAGCTTAACCTTCGAACTTCGCAAGCTTCGGCGACAGATATTTCATGCATACGCAGCTGTTTCCCTCTACGTTGGGGCGGAGCCATTCCTGTTGCAGAGAAGTTTTTTTATCTTAACAATACATATTTTTTTTATTCTAACCTCCATGTACGGTACATATGGGATTTGGTGGCATTATGATGAGCAGTAACAACAGTTGCCTCTTTCTGTTTCTTAGTCTCTGTTTAAGAAGGTGTTGGGTAGTAAACCGGTCATTTTGGTGTTGGCGGCAGCTTTCAAAATTGTACAAAGGCCATAGTGAAAACTAGGATTTTACCGCAAAATCTTTTAAACTTTTTTTTTTTCATTTTAATAAATGCCTTATTTTTCATTTTGCAGTAAAATAAAAAAAAAAAATAGTAATCAGTTATCTAGGCTAATGTTTAATATTTGCCAAAATAGCATTGATTATTGTAATTCAATTTTTAAGTGATTTACTTCATTTTAATGTTATTTATATCATTTAATGTTCTTCTTTCCTCTAAATTTATTTATTATTAGTTAATAATACTTTCAAATTTCAGGCAAATTTCTCTGGCATAATTCTGAAACTAAATCTAGCAGTATGATGACATACTATCACAAAATTTAATGCACATATTTTTGTTTATGTATGCTGCTAAATAAATATAAAATACCTGAATTTATTTTAAAATATCATTAAATAGATTTCTTTCTTTCATTTAGCTGCAAAATGTCTGCAAAAAAAAAAAAAAAAAAAAAAAAAAAAAAAAACTCATTTTTTAATACAGATTGGGCAGATTCTAATCTCAGTCTTCAGTGGAGAAAACAACTCCTATTATAGCTATAATAGTAATGCTTTCAGGATTATATATATAATAAGTCATATGCAAGTGGCAAATTTTTTGGTACCATAATTAATTTACCTCTCAGCGCAGCCAACGTGCACTATGCAGATAGACTGGAATTTTCTCAAAACACACCTGGAAAAGATGGAAAAGTCAGGGAATTTCATTCTCCTCTTTAAGTGGCAACCCTGTAAATATGATTGCAACCAGTTTGGTTTTATAAACTCATTTGTAAATTTCAGGTCTAATTGTGACACAGTTTAGTTCTGTACTATACAAATAAACAATATATGCTGCACCAATTCTGTTGTCAAAACCCAAACCAACTGTAAATATATCCAGTTCTCCAATGCTGACATTTATTCTCTAATATTTCACTTCTTTTCTTAACCTTCTGAGAAGTGTGGGTTTTCTGCTCTGTCATGAAAACTTTCATTTAAAGAGAATTTATTATTTAAATGTGTATAATTACCTAATTTAGTCTCTGTTTTCACAGACTTACATTCATTAAGGTGACATTTACATTATTAAAGAAAGAATGAAAGCAAAATGTCTTACATTATAAGCTAATATGTACGAAGTCACAAAAATTCTCATGACCAGATAAAATTGGTCATGGTGCTGAGAGGGATAATGCAAGATGTGTAAGGTTTATATTAAAAACAGAAAAACATGCAATATATGGTAAAATCTGCAAAAGTAATAAAATCATTATTTGGGAACATAATTAAATTTATAATACAAGCAATCAAATATTGAGAGGGGTGGCATACAAGCCAATATGCAGATGACTTCTGTCAAAACTGTTTTAAAACTGCTCAGATGCAATAGCCAGAGTTGTATTGTATCTAATTTATTTTTGATTCGCTTCAGGACCGCTGCTTTGGAACCCCAAGCCCCAATGTCATATAATATGATGGGAATAATAACTATTTTATAAATTAATCTAATAATGTTACTTTTCAGTGCTTATGAGCTGATAAATTTCTTTTATAATACATCAGAATGGAGATTGTTCTTTTATAAATATAATTGAAATAGTGCTCAAAATTAAATTTATTATCAAAGAAAACACCACAATGTGTACAGTTTTCAACAAATTTAATTTAAACACCTTCATATTTTAGTTGTGGTGAACTTATTTTCCCACCTTTTGGATACCCCCCCAAGGTGTTTTCTGTAAACTAATTTTCATGGGGTATTTTCAACTTTTTTTCCAGTAGACTCATCTGGTAGCATCTTTAAAAGTGGTAGACCACAAAACAAAGATACAGGAGGGCATACAGAATTTGAGAATCATCAAGAGGCAACACCCAAAACTCAAACTCAGAATACTGAGCCATCTGAAAATCATTCACTTTCTGGAAAAACAAATGAGGTGTGTTAAATATGTTTTTATAATTTCACTTTTGCTTCATGTTCACGAAAAGCTAAAATTATTCTGTATCAGTTTCTATTTTCTTTGTTATAATTTATTGAAACCTTTAGCTTCCATTTTTATACCATTCTTTTAGTGAATTTAAAATATCAGCTGCCTATTGAAAATGTTCATATGCTCCTAAATATTAATAATCTGTGAGATATTTTAATTTGAAAACAGAGGCTTAAAAGTAACTGAAATAATAATTCTGATATTGAGTATAATTAAGCTATTGCTTGTCAAGATTATATTGTGAAATCCAAAGAATAAATGTGATTTTATGCACATTTTCTTACACTATGTAAGTTAATTATTGTACAAGGTTTGTTAAGTAGTTGATTATGGCAAAGTATGTGAGACTTGTGTGCTATAGAAGAGATATTGTAGTAGACTATATCAGTGAAACTGACTCATAATTATGTTACTTATGGATAAATTCTCGAAAACTGCGGGCAGTCGGCTAGTTCACCGAGATGGACTACAGGCATTCAGTAATCTTTTTCACATATTATAAACCTATCGTGAGCTATTATTATAAACCTATCGAGATAATAATGAACATTCTGGGCTAAAGTATATGATATGAGTCAGCTGCTTTCTCTAAGTATGTTCTCTATAAAGATATTTCTACTGAGCTGGTAAATCTTCAGTTATTTCACTATAATTGATTAATATATCGTACTAAATTTATGATAATAATTGTTAGAAAAAGTTAAGAAAAATGGAAGTAGCTGAACTGAATGTGATGATTAAACCCCAAATTTTCAATTTTTATGTGATATCAAGTGTAAAATGTTTATAATTGTGAAATAGAAAATAATCCTGAAATGTATGTGTTCAGTTGATGTTCTTAAAGATGAGAACTATGTAGTTAACCCATATGAAACATTAATACTTAAAGTCATTGATTAAAAAAAGAAAAATATGATAATCAAATAAATTAATGATTAGGAAACACAAATGCCTAAAATCGGTGATAAAAATATAATATCTGAAAATGTAGGCTGCTAAAGGAATTTGAATTAAATTTTGTGTTATTTATACATATGGCAAGAGCAATCATTTTTTATGCATATTAAGAAATAGCTTCTAAGCTACATATCTGTGTATCTTCAGCAAAATGGCAATGAGCTCATACTGAGCATTATACTAAAAGTTTCAATATAAAAAATTCAGAATGTGGTTTTATATTATGTATTCTATCCCCTCCCAGTCATCCTTTTTGTGGGGAGGGGGAATAGCTGTTCTATTTTCAAAAAAAAAAAAAAAAAAAAAAAAAAAGTGTTAATTTAATCTCCTCAACACACACACAGTTTCATGGGGATTAAGGAAAGATTTTGTCTACCATTTCTGTTTCTGATGAAAAGATACAATGATTTTATTTTCAAAAACAATGATTTAAGCACGTAATGTAGATTAAAATCAAATGAGATTTGACCTGCATTTCTGCTTAAAAGTCATGTTAATAAAATTAAAAATATTTTCTTAGAACTTGCTGCTTTTGCTTATGACCTTCTTACTGTAATTCTAAACAAGCTTTATAATATTTTAGAATGAGAAATATTATTTCTCAATACTGTGTTACAGCAGTCAGTAGAAAACCAAAGTTTATTATTTACAGAGGATTTATTATTGCAAATGCTAAAATAATTACAGTTTTGCTTTCTAACATAATCCCTGTCTGTTTGAATATACCAGCACTTGACAAGCATGTAGATACTACCAAAAATGAATTCTTTCTGTTGCATGATTCTACACAACCAATCATGCATTGTTGATTGAATATTTCATCCCATAGCGTTTTTCACCCACAAGTGTATTCATTTTTCATCTCTAGTGATACTGTACTGCAGGAATGACTCATCATCAGTCATGTGTATAGCCAGGGAGGTACACTTGCACCCCCCTAAATGAATGCAACACTCTTTTTTTTTTTTTTTTTTTTTCTTTTTGTTTTATTTATTTATTATTATTATTATATATATCAACTAAAAAGTTTGTGAAACGTTGTCTCAGTTTCTTATATTACTCTTTAAGGTCCCCCCTCCCATACATACAAATCCCCTATTATGCAAATAAGGACAACCTAGTCTCAGGACCAAAGCTGTATGTATAGTAAAGCATTGTCACTTCAATGGGAGAGACTTGCGCTTCGAAGAGACCACAGCGCTTGCAGCATTTGCGCTGTGAAAACACAATCAGTAAAACTGTGCATGCTGCTTTTCTTTTCAGTCATTGAATATTCAGTCTGAATTTGTTTCGCTTCTTTTCCTGTCACAGCTTTTATTCAGCTTTGGCCAAAATGGCGTATCGTTACTGCCGTTTTAAAGGTTGCAGGAACAAGAAAATTTTGTCAAAATCAGATGGAATACATGTCTACAGATTTTCTATAGAAGAGAAAATGTTAGTACCTAATTATTTTACACTTTTGTTATTTGTAAGCAGATTAGAAATGTGTACGTGAGAATAATTTTATCATGCATGGCATGGTTTATATATGACTATGTGTCCATTAAATCTATTGCTTTACCATACACTGCAGAAAAATTCATATGATTTACAGTAAGCATTTTATCAGCAACATTTAATCGTGCAGAGACGCTTGCATTAAAAATAAGTTTTTTTCAGTAATATTTTTTATTTAATTTATGTAGTAATTTTTTAATGGAAAATGTACTGGGTTTAAAAAGGGTTTTAAATTTCGAATTATTTATAACACTTTAATGCACATTTTCTAGCTTTTACTCTAATAGATTTGCTATAAAAATAAGTCGTTGTCTCAAAACCGATACTTTTGAGAAAAATAATTTTTAAGAATAATTTTGCTCAAAAAATTATGAAAATTTTCCTCTAAATACTCCTAATGCATTTATCATAAAAAAAATGATCCAGATAGTTTCTCTGATTATTGACAAAAATGAGGGAATGACATATTGCTATTAAAATGATGATCACTCATAAAATATATACTTATCACTTCCATGAAAATATTTTTGGCCTCTTTTGCTATATTTATACATAATATTTTCTTCTTGTATCACTCTGATGCAGTCATTTTCATGTTTCTCTGTCAGTAATTATAAGATCTAAAACGATCTTAAAGAACGGCGTATTAAGTTTTTATAAAAAATAAATTGGTAAAAGCTGGGAAATGTGCATTAAAGCGTTAAATGATTAAGTATTTAAAACCATTTTTAAAGCCAGTATATTTTTCATTAAAAAAATTAAGATAAAAAAAGTTACTGACTCGCTTACTTTTACAAGTCACCTCTATAACATTAAATGTTGCTGATAGAATGCTTACTGTAAATCATATTAATTTTTCTGCAGTGTATGGTAAACCAGTAGATTTAATGGACACACAATAATATACCATACCTTGCAGGATAAAATTATTCTCACCTTTAAATATAAAATAATCCACTTACAAATAAAAAAGTGTAAAATAATCCAGTACTAACCTTTTCTGTTCTATAGGAAATCTGTAGAAATGTATTCCATCTGATTTTAAACTTTTTTATTGGATATTTCAAACAAATCTGCAAAAGTTACAACTTAAATTTTTTGTGAGAGAAAAAAAAAATTTTTTCTTTAATGTAAAGAGATACACTTTTTCTTCAAATATAAAATTAATCTAATTAATTTAGTAAATCCATTAGTTTCAGGTCACTGAGTTGGGGAGGAGGAGGAGCATAGAGTTTTAGTTAACAGCACAACTGCTGCAAACTGGATTGGCACTGCAGTCAACCGGCAGATTGTAATATGGGGGTGACAACACTTCTCTTGAAGCAGCTTTGCCCAGGACATTCTTTTGCTTACATTCACCTTAAACGATATAAATACGTAATAGATGTCTAGAAGTAATTCCAAGAGTTTCCTATAAACAAGCATTCCTTCTTTGTCCAGTCTAAGTATAATTTTTAGTACCTTGGGGGGCTAATGATAGGCTTCTTTGTAACGATGACATTTGCAACTTCCAGATCTCTTTTTTGGATGAATGACAAAGAAACTTATTGCAAAACTTTTTCCTGATTCGAGTCATTATAATGTTTTCAAGTTTGACAAAATACTTTAAAAATTAAATAATTTTAAAAATGAACGTTTTAAAATATAATAATTCGTTTAATCTATTCGAAAAACACTTGCACATGGATCAAGCACCAAGGAAGTACTCAGCAATTTATTCTACTCTACCACTGATGAATTCGTGCCATATCATAGTTTTGTTTTCTCTGTCTAAGATCGTTTGCACCCCCAACTCCGATCCTGGCTACACCCATGTCATCAGTCTCATACTGATGGTAAAGCTCTGGGCAAACATTGGTACACTTTTCAATCATTTTAGTTATCAAACCCTTAAGTGCATCCTACACATACTTTGTGAAACTTGTTATGAATGATATGATCAACTATAACATTGATGCTACCTTCTTGATTATACTACACCAATTTTGCTGTATTATATTTTGAGTGACTTAAAGTTTTCCATGACTGATGGACCCAGGTGAGAATCCTGCACCATATTTTTCAGGCTTCCATTTTCATCAACAAATCTGCGAGCAGTCAGAATACCTCACAGCATGACTAATGATGAATGGCTGTCCCAGCTGATCACTCTCCAGACTGCCACATCCCTGTATTCTAGCTGTGTGCTACTTGGTAGCAAATGATGTATTGGACTGATCACCTTTCCATCTCCAGATATATGCAGTGATCATCAGCATTAAAAGAAAAGCTTGTTTTGTTACTGAAGATCACATTTCTTTAATCGGACACTGTCCAACTTAAGCAAAAGTGGCACCATACAAAATGACACTGCTTATGGTGGAGTGTCAATGGCAAGCAACTTAATGCACGTCGAGATCAGAGTCCAGTCTCACCTAGTCTTCTATGAATTGTATCCCTGGATACCCCGGATCCCTGCAGGTTGACAAATAACATTGAGTTGATGATAGCTT